GAGTTTTGAAGAACATTTAGAAAATTTTAGGAAGGTGCTTCAGAAACTGAAAAAAGCCAATCTGAAGCTGAGCTCCCGCTAAATGCAAATTGGTTCCGAAAGGAAGTGACTTATCTGGGACATGTCATCTCTGCAGAAGGTGTACGCACGGATCCTGAAAAGGTATCAGCGGTTAAATCCTGGACACGTCCCGAAAATGTCCATCAGCTGAGAAGCTTCCTAGGGCTTTGCACCTACTATAGGAGATTCGTGAAGGACTTTTCTTCCATCGCAAGACCCCTTCACAAGCTGACAGAGAGCAAGCAAACGTTCTTGTGGAAAAGGAATGCGAGGATGCATTTAACAACTTAAAGGAAGCTTTAAACATCTGCTCCAATCCTGACGTATCCTCAGCTCGACAGACCATTTATTCTCGACACGGACGCGAGCAATGAAAGTGTCGGTGCTGTTTTGTCCCAAGAAATAGAGACGGCCAAGAACGTGTAGTAGCGTACTGGAGCAAGTGCCTGTCTAAACCGGAGAGGAATTACTGTGTCACCAGGAAAGAGTTGCTCGCCATAGTCAAAGCTGTAGAAACATTTCCATCATTATCTATACGGCAGAAAATTCCTCCTCCGCACGGACCATGCCTCATTGGCCTGGCTTTTAAATTTTCAAGAATCCTGAGGGTCAAAATAGCCAGGTGGATACAGAGACTCCAAGAATATGACATCACTATCCGTCATCGTAAGGGATCATCACACGGAACGCCGACGCCCTGTCTAGAAGACCTTGCCAAGAAAGCTGCCGATATTGTTCCAGGGTGGAAGCGAAATACGAGCTGCTGACTCCGGTCGCAAGACAAATTACAACATCAACATCGGCTGATCGAGACCCGTGGAGTGATGATGAAGTCAGGAAAGACCAGCTGGAAGACCGCGACATTAAACCCATAACTTGATTTAATAGAGTCATCAAACAGAAAACCTACATGGCAGGACATTTCTATCTGTAGTCCTACAACCAAAACAATACTGGGCACTCTGGGATTCACTTCACATTCGAAACGGCGTCTTATACCGGAAATTCGAAGTCGGATGATGGGAAGACGTTCCGATGGCAACTGATACTTCCAAGATCCCGGATTCCTGATGTCCTCAAAGAACTACATAACAGCCCTACAGGAGGTCACTTTGGAATTATGAAGACCTTACAGAGAGTTCGTGAGCGCTTTTACTGGAATAATGCAAAGATGACGTGCAAAAAGTGGTGCCGATCTTGCGATGCCTGTGCAGGTCGGAAAGGACCGAGGAAACGCAGCCGAGGCAAGACTGCAACGTTACAACGTAGGTGCGCCTTTTGAACGTATCGCCTTTGACATCCTGGGACCTCTGCCACGAACTGCTGATGGCAACAAATACATACTCGTTGTCATTGATTACTTCACCAAGTGGCCTGAAGCTTATCCTATTCCTGATCAAGAGGCTGTCACAGTAGCTGAGGTAATGATACAGCACTGGATTTCCAGGTTCGGAGTGCCTCTTCAGTTACATTCCGATCAGGGAAGGAATTTGCCTCGGCAGTAATCAAAGAACTATGCAAACTACTCGGCATTGACAAAACTCAAACGACGCCATTGCATCCCCAGTCGGACGGCATGGTAGAGAGGTTCAATCGAACCATCCTTAATAACCTCTCATTAGTGGTTTCCAGAAACCAACAGGACTGGGACAAGAAATTACCACTCTTTTTACTGGCTTACCGCAGTGCTGTCCACGAGACTACCGGCTATTCTCCATCACAGATGCTCTTCGGTCGTGACCTTCGTCTGCCTTGTGATCTATTGTTTGGCCGCCCTCCGGATGCTCCTTCATCGTCTGAGGAATATATTCAAGATCTCCAGGCCCGGTTTGAAGTGATGCACAACTTTGCACGAGAGCGAGTCAACTTGGCGACGGAGAAGATTGAAGACCCGCTACGACACAAGAGCTACTGAACATCAATTCCACGAAGGAGACAAGGTGTGGTTGTGGAATACGACTCGACGGAAAGGACTTTGTCCGAAATTACAGTCACCTTGGGATGGGCCGTACACAGTCCTGAACAGGCTGAATGACGTCGTGGTTCGGATTCGTAAGTCTTCGAACTCTAAACCTAAAGTCGTTCATTACGACAGGTTAGCTCATTACTATGGCCATAGTACGTAATGTAAATAATTGTAAATAGTATAAGACCATGGTCCATTTTGTTTTTAAATTTGATTTGATTTGTATTTGTATTTGTTTTATTTGTTTTATTGCATTTATTGTTCATGTTGTTTATTATTGTAATGTAATGCTTATTAATGCATTTATGCCACAGTTGTAAGTTTAGCTTCCTGTCCAGGGATTGTACTGCCCGGGACGTGCAGTCCTTGGGAAGGGGGCAGTGTTACGAATTTGGTATTTAAAAAGCTAATGTTAGTTCAATTATAAATTAAATGGTTTTATTTCTCGCGCAGTGCAGCGCGTGACGAATATTAAAAGAAAGCTAAGCCGAAAATTGAAAATTACAAGAGCGCGTGCATTAAATAAATAAATATCTCTTTTTGATTTCGAGAAAGTACTGGAAAATTCTAGCGCGTGATTTTAAAATCTTATAAAAGGAGGAAAACATCTCAGTTTGTAGTAGTTGCTTAGTTTGTTGTTGTTTAGAAAACTGCTCTTGTTGATTGTAGCGAATTCGCGGATTAGCGTTCTTTAGCTGTTTTTTAATTGCGTTCTATTGGACATTTGAGTAGTTAAAAGATAACTACTGTGAGATATTGTAATACTGCATGATAATTTGAGAAAATTTAAGCATTTTTGTTGTGATAATAATAAATTTTTTTTTTGTTCATTTTTCATCGGACTTGTGCATTCATTTCATAACGAACCCGTACGCACGCAACATTATAAATGCGCCAAATGGTATGCCGGTCAGCAAAATGGATCAGCAAAGGTTGGATTGTGATCTGAGTTCTTAATAAGTCAAAAACATTGGTAATTTCATGTCTAATGGCATGAAAGACTCAAAATCTGTTTATCCCCAAAGCCTCTCGAGACGATGGTGGTAGAAGAAGGGAAATATTTCAGATTGATTCCCTTTCCGAGGTGTTTTACATCAAAACAGAAGTGAGTGCATAAAGTTCTTCTGTAATCACTGGAATTCAAAACATAAGATCTCATAGTTAGCTTTTATAACAGAGCTTCCCCTAACCACAGAGATTAACTAAACTAGCTAACAGAGATTAACTAAACTATAGAGTTAATTCTACACCTATGAAAGGCCAAGGAAGTACATAAATGTTGTACCTGATGCATTTTACAGTTTAATTTTCTTTAACCTCTGATTTAATTAAAAATGCTTCTAATGCCCTCAATTTATTTATAAACCTTTATGCCAAAAATGATTTTATGAGCAGAGCCTCTGATTTTATGATTTAATGCCTCTGATTTTATGAGCAGAGCTTCGCCTAACCACAGAGATTAACTAAACTAGCTAACAGAGATTAACTAAACTATAGAGTTAATTCTACACCTATGAAAGGCCAAGGAAGTACATAAATATTGTACCTGATGCATTTTACTGTTTAATTTTCTTTAACCTCTGATTTAATTAAAAATGCTTCTAATCCCCTCAATTTATTTATAAACCTTTATGCCAAAAATGATTTTATGAGCAGAGCCTCTGATTTTATGATTTAATGCCTCTGATTTTATGAGCAGAGCTTCGCCTAACCACAGAGATTAACTAAACTAGCTAACAGAAATTAACTAAACTATAGAGCAGAGCTTCCCCTAACCACAGAGATTAACTAAACTAGCTAACAGAGATTAACTAAACTATAGAGTTAATTCTACACCTATGAAAGGCCAAGGAAGTACATAAATATTGTACCTGATGCATTTTACTGTTCTAAAGTTCTTCTATAATCACTGGAATTCAAAACATAAGATCTCATAATTAGCTTTTATGAGCAGAGCTTCCCCTAACCACAGAGATTAACTAAACTAGTTAACAGAGATTAACTAAACTATAGAGCAGAGCTTCCCCTAACCACAGAGATTAACTAAACTAGCTAACAGAGATTAACTAAACTATAGAGTTAATTCTACACCTATGAAAGGCCAAGGAAGTACATAAATATTGTACCCTGATGCATTTTACTGTTTAATTTTCTTTAACCTCTGATTTAATTAAAAATGCTTCTAATGCCCTCAATTTATTTATAAACCTTTATGCCAAAATTAATATCCAAGAGTGGAAACAAGTTCCGATACAGAGAATTCGACGAAATATGATCACGTGGTTGTCACAGGTAACAGAAACAGGAAGATAACCAACGGTGAGATTAACATATATCTTTCGTGATATAATGGAAAAACTGGAATTTTGGGCCAAAGAAGTTGACAAAAAATTAATAAGTGATAAAAAGTGAATAATAAATTTAAATATATTTTGATCTAGACAGGCGAGTGTATCTGATCACCACAGGGTTAAGTTTTACTATATAACTCCCAACTAATTACAATGTATATGCAAAAGAAACTTTGAAACAGAAAGCCAGAAGATTAATCTTCTCCTCATTTAAAAAAAAAAGTCTCAAGAGAAATGACTTTAAGCTCAATAAAAAGCATTTGATTTAAAAAGTAAAAGTCAAGAAAATGCCGTGTTTTTTTAAAAAAAAAAAATATTAAAAACATTTACAGCAATCGCAAGAAAATCCAAACAAAATAAATATACTTCTTCAATAGGTTTTCTTCCCCTCCCCACCAAACATGTGCATTTTTCTTTTATTCTGATTTTAAAGAAAGAAAAATTGATAGAAGCTTCTTTATAAATGCCCAAATCACTCTATTCTTGCATCAGTAAAATAATAAACATTCCCTCTTTGATTCAATTCCTTTTTTGTATGTTACACGCATACATATATATATACTTCCATGAACAAACTATTTAGAAATATTTTTACAAGAAGTTGAAATACGTAAGAAGCTTACCTGAATTTCAGGTTTATCGGCAAGTACTTCACGAGCAGCAAAATCTGAAAGAAAACAGAGAGAAAAATGCATGAGCCTTCAAAGAATTTAATAACCAGCAATGCGTTGCCAAAGAAAACTAACAAAAAATAAATTTCAGTGACCTTTAGAATAAAAATCGCTATCGTTAAAGAAACATTGTAAGCTAGCCGTTAAAAAAATATAAGCTGCAAGAAAAATAAGTCAGTGAAGCACTTAAGGTAAAAACGCTTAAACGCTATAATAGCAGGTAGAAGTTTTTAATATAATAGCTTGCGCAACGTAGAAGGCAACCCGTGCAAATGAACAATTACGGATACACGGATGCAGCAAACAATTACAAAAAACACACCCTCCCTTTTTATGTGAAAGTTTAGACTGCGTCAGCTAGATGCATCAGCAAACTGCATCAGCTAGAGTTTCACCGTTTGAAAATCAGCACGTAAAAAAATTAATTGAAAAACTGAACTGAAGTGAATTAATACATTTCAAACAATCGATGATGGAGTATCTATCTAACGCTCAGGATTTTAGCTTTGCGCAGTGTGTCATTAGAATAATGTCCGAAGAACAATTATCAGGTACAGCAGGTGTGTTTTTCTTTTTTCCTTCCCCCCCCCCACTTTTATACACGAGATGTGATACTGGTTATAAAAGGTTACAAAAATAATAATTCATTATCTCATGATAGTGATCTTTTGCAGGTTGAACTTAAAATTCCTAATCAAGCAATTACAAATTAAGCAACTAAATGTTTCAGATAATCACAAAACTTAGAAAAATAAATCATATTCGCTAATACCGCTAAAACAGAAACAAGATAGTAGATTTTCAGCTGTTATATGTAAGTTATGAGTATCAGTTTTGGAATTATTCGAATTCAGATTCTTCTCAAATTAGTGAAACATTGTGATTACCAATTTAAATGCTTAAAATTAGTGATACATCTTGATTATCATTTTAAATGTTTATCTTGTGATTATCATTTTAAATGTTTATCTTGTGATTATCATTTTAAATGTTTATCTTGTGATTATCATTTTTAAATGGTTAAAGTTTAAATACTACATTTAAAACTCTATGTGATTTTACTACAACTGGTTTCACGCATATAGATATATATATCATAGATAAAAAATAAATTTTATTTAACGCATTTTTTACAAATGCTACTAACACATTTTAACATATTTAAACATTTTAATGCATGTGGGTATTTTAACACAATTTTACTAATGCACACATTTTTACAAATTTCACTAACGCATAAATGTTTACAAATTTTTCTAAAACATTAACGCAGTTTTACTAACGCAGTTGTTACATAACGTAACAGGAATAAATACAGATTTTACCAATTTTCTTTCTCACATCTGCATGTAAACGGTATAAAAAATATTCGGATTTTTAAATTTTCTACAGTAGCTTTTTGAAAATTAAATGATTACAAATATTCAAATCAATAACAAAGTTTATTTACACACTTTGTATTTCTACTTTAACAGCTATGCATATAGAATTTAAAGAATAAAACGTGTGGAATGATTTTGTCAGTTCCAATTCCGCGAAATAACCTAGAAATAAAAACTGAGACTAGAAAGGCAACCAATTAAGACCAAATTTCGACCTTAACTGCAATTACAAAACGAAATTTCATTTCGAAAAATGTTTCTGAATATATTACTATACTAAGAACGTTGTTCAAATACGTATGATACTTAAATGGTTTTAGATACTTAATGCATTCAGAAGATTCTATTTTGTTTTTAGTATTCATCAACAAACTATAATCCAATAAATCTCACTTATTTACTACGCAAAAAATTTAGCACGTTATTTTTACGTCAAAATAGTTTGCATTATAAACTAAAATCTATAAAACAGAAGAAAATTTGGTAAAAGTTTACAATTGGGTGCCCCTTGTAATTTTGGCGATTCCTTTTTGACGCCAAATCGGCGCCAGAAAGGCACACTTTCAAGATGGCCGCTACACAAAACTAAAATAAGAAGTCAAAGAATTGCACAAACTCGGTGTCCATGTACACATCGATCTATTTTCACTTAAAAAGAATCAGAGAACTGCACAAACTAGGCATTGCGCAATGCTTTACCTTTGTTCATACACACATCGATCTATTTTCATATAAAAAAAAAATCAGGAAGCTAAAACAAAGTTAAAACTATCATGGTAACCATAAATGGGGTTTCATCGCCAAAATTGAACAAAATTTGTCGCTAATGGAAGAGGCACCCCATTCTACACTAGAGTCGAAAATTTAATCAGCTAGACGAACAGTTCTTATTTCTATAAATGTCTATATCACAACTTAAAACGATTACATGTATTTCATGCAGTGTAAATTATATGCACACAGATATTGCTTTATAAAAGGATTTAACAAATATTGCGATAAACTTGCCAAACGTAATTGCCGTGTTTTGCTGTGTAGCCATGTTCTGACGTGTAATTGTTTTTCAGACTCAATCGCTGAATGTCGATGCGGTAGTCGCAATTACAAATACTATATATAGCTTTATTTTATACCGTAAAGAAATATTATATATAAAGAAGTATTTTATACCGTAAAGAAATTAATTTTATATATTAATACAAAAGATATAGCTCATACATTAATACTTTTTCCATTAATCATGTCTTAATTTATATTGCAGTCTCCGGAAAATAACATATAAATCGATCAACTAACTGAATGAGCTACCTTTCCACTGAAAGTTAAGATTGCATCAAATAAAAATACAATCCTGCCAGAGAGAAAACCAATTAGACAAACATGAAATCGGTTTCATACCGATTTATAGCGGTCTCCTCTTTTGCTATTCATGTAATCATTGCTCAGTGTTTGGTGCTACTCTTCTCCACCGTCTCGGAAGATCCTGAAGTAAATTTTGAGCTATCGGATGCCAGCAGCTTCATGAATTACACCTTCCATGGAATGAACAACATACTCAGTTATGCAGTTCCAAAATTCGACGTGAAAGCCAATTTAAGCCACTTGTTCACCTGGAACACAAAGCAGCTGTACGTGTTCCTCCTTGTTGAATATTCAAAGCGTAACACACTCTACAGCACCATATTGTGGGACAAAATTATCTTACAAAGAGAGGACGCAGATTTTCATTACCTAGGCCTAAAGCCTAAGTATTCGATGGCAATTCAAGGAAGAGCATGGACTGGTAGGAAAAATTTGACACTGTCACTTGCTTGGAGTGTTACACCAATAGTTGGCAGTATTTGGAATGCGCGTGGACAGGACTATTATATTCTTACAATACCTGGAAACAGTATGTAACAAATGATGAAACTGTCAAATAAAGGATGAAAGTTACTGAACAGTATAAAAATAGTTAATTTCTTTTTTCTTTTGTTTCCTTTTATTCCCATTCTTTCCTTTGTCTTTTCATATTTCTTTTTCACTCTTCTTTTCCCCTGCTTTTCTATTCGGATGGGGGAAGGATCTTTTCTGCTTTATATTCACTTCCCCCCATCCTTCCATCTCCATCCCTTTCTACATATATCTCTCAAGAGGGAATCGAAGGCATTCATAAAATAAAAGGTATTAAAAAATCCTCTCTCTTTTTCCTCCTTAAAAATTTAAGACAAAGAAAGAATTTAAAAGGGAAAAAGTGTAGAATAGAGAACAGCTGTAGGCATTCTTTCTTCCTTTGGAGACATCTTACACGATAAAGAAAATTTACAACAAAGTAATAGGAGATTATCATCACCACATTCATGAAAGATTTATTTTTTAATTCAAATGTCTAAATCACATGTCTTTACCATGTCAAGATAACTGAATATCTAAATCACACGGTACAGTCCATCTTTGGGTTTGATCATAATCCTTCTCCGTAATGAGTGTAGTTAATAAAAATTTTCACACATTGAACCCTATCGTGGCGACCAACTTCCTAAGACGACCACCTTCGAAAGCGACTGTTTTTAAGAGCCTTAAATATCAGTATTGAACATTGCTTCTTCACGACCACTACCTCTGTAGAAGATCAAAAACCATCTGGATTTGTGGGCAGAACTAAGAGAGTTATCTATATTTAAAATATTGTCTTTCGTTTCCAACCTTACAGGACTCAGCACAAGCACACTGTTGCCAATATTATATGTCCCAAATGTGGATTTTTTCATCAATTGCTTTATGGAATTACAGGAAGCAGTTGTCGCTTTGACAACCCGGGTAGTAGGCGTTGTTTATAATTGACGACTACCTAAAATTGGGAATGCAGAAAACTCAGGTAGCGTGACGAGCGATGATCAACAGTTATGCATCAAAATTGATACCTCATGTGGGAAAAATGCAACAGACATTCACTGCGTTTGATGTGCATGACAATTACTCAGCAGAGAAAAGCTCAATTTCCCATACAGACTTTTTTTTCTTGACAGAAAGTTTCAGCCCTGAAGGATTTAGCTGTTACCAATACATCAAATGGCTTGATAAAATCAAGACTAAACTGGAATTGCTGAGTTTCTAAAATAATGGTGCGCCGTTATTCAGAAGCAAAGTAAATGCATATATGGAATACATAAGAAACATAGCCTAAGGAAATTTTATGTGTAGCTATGATTAGTAAACATTAACATACATCTTGCACACACCCCAAAAAAATGGGGGGGCAGTTCTATATCTTTCGTTCTGCTGGACCAATTGTCGAAATTTAACTTGCGTTTTCCATGTCTCAAAAGCGTGACTAGGATATATATTATATTTATATATAGCATTGTTCTAACATAGGTACTCTCACACAAAATCGGATTTTTTCTGAAATAACACAACAATTTTTTTACATATTTCGATTCTACGACTGAAATTATGCCAAAACGCCGAGTTATGTAAAAATCACGGGAGTATTTCTTAAAACATTAGCTTTCAAAATTTTAGTTCCACCAAGTTAATTGAATTTGGTATTTATTTCTTAATATCTCTTTTTTATTAAACTTATTTGAATCTTTCTTTCACATTTGGACATTTAGGTTCATTTCAAATAAAAT